ATGAAACTCATTAAATAAGGCATAAAATAAAGTACTAACCTCGTTGTATTCCATTTTCGGATCTATGGCCTTATCATTATACATTGGAAATGCACCAAAAATAGAAAGATAATAGAAGTTGAAACAATCTTCCAAATTAGCTAGTCTAAAACGAGGATCGAGAATAAATGCAATACCATAAATATGCGGAATATGTGCATAATATTTTAAAAACTTTTCCTTCATAAAATCACAAAAATAACTCACGTAAACAACATTCTCAAATTCTTTAAAAGCACCGGCGAGATTAACAGTTTCACGAATAAATTGGTTTGCGGTAGGTTTATAAACATGACTAAATGTTTCAGTTACATTAAAAAATATATCTCTTGAGGGTCCCTACTACTGTTCAAGGGTCCAAGATATTACCCCAGTTCAGTGCCCGGATGGCGGAGGCCATTCCAAGCCTATTGGGCATGTTTCGGCATTTGGGCCCATTTCGGCTCATTTGGCCCATTAGGGTAGATTTTACCCTACTCCCTTTCCCCTATAAATATGGGGCTTTCTCACATGTTTAGGGAGGCTTTTCCTTGGCTTATTGTTCTTCCTTCTCTCTAGCTAGCTTACAATACTCCATGAATGGTAGTTCAACACCTTGTTCCTTGTAATGGTGAGGAGAGATTAATGAGAATGAGAGGACTTGGACATTAGCCGAAAAAGTCATGTGGTTTTCTCTCATTCGGGTTTCCACGTAAAAGAGCTTGTTCATACATATTTATACATATATTTACTATATCGTGTTGGATTAAACTCAACAATATCAAAACATTACAAATTCTTTCACAAGTGTCGATCTCAGTCGAGTTTATAATATAGTTATCATGTTGTTTTAAAAAAGCAGGAAAATGGTCTTTATATCTAAGAACAATTTTAAGTAATTTATAAGTACTATTCCAACGAATAGCCACATCTTTAGGAAAAGCAACATATCTCACACCTCTTTCAGTCAAATAATTTTGTCATTTTAATTTAAGTTGACCACTACCCCAAATACGTCTACCCCCCCCCCCTCCCCCCGACTATCTCCATAGCATCTCCCAACGCTTTTAGACCGTCTTGCACATATAAATTTGTAACATGGCATGCACACCGTTGATGAAAAAATCTACTCATCAAAGTATTGGCACCACACAATTCACGCAATCTAGGTATAGCAGCAGTATTATTAGTAGCATTATCGAAACCAATAGCAAACATCTTATCAATCAAATTATACTCAATTAAAATACGCTCAATCAAAATATAAATATGTTCAGCGGTGTGACGATCATTAAATTCACGAAAAGCAAGAACACATTTGTGCATATTCCAATCTTCATCAATATAATGTGCAGTCAGGCCCAAATAATTTAAATGATGAAAATCATCCACCCATATGTTAGAACCTATGAAGCACGGATACTTCCCTAGGGTAGCGTATCGGCGTATCCGATACGTTCCCGTATCTGATACTCTAGGATACCCGTACCGTACGTTCCCGGGCCGTATCTGCAATTTTTAAAAGTTTCCATCTTTTTTTGTATTTTTTTGAAAGTTTCCGATACTCGTATCCTGACGGATACCCGTATCAACTTTTTTAAAAAAAAAAATCCCAAAATTTACTTAATAAAATTCTAAAAAAAAATGAAAATCTAAAACTACATTTTACTTGGTAATCAAATAATGGGCCTATATGGCTATATCCGAATTAAGTCATTAACTCATACTCCGAATTGGGTACTTGCACTTTTAATTTCAAGATTGTAGTTGGTTGACTTATTTCTCATTTTAAATTAATGACTTATTGACTACATTTATATTTCGAGATACACTAGTGTATATGAGAAATATTATGAATTTATTACTAAGTATCTTGAAAAAGGAAAATGTTTCAATGCAATGAATGGGTAGACATCATAGGATATTATATGTATGTATGTGTGTGTGTGTGTGTATATATATATATTCAAAAAAATCTATTTTTAATATTTATAAATAGACCCCTATAACTTTTAATATTTGTAAATACACCCCCATAACTTTTAATATTTATAAATATGGCCCCGTATCCGTATCCTACTTTTTTTGGTTTTGACGTATCCCCGTACCCGTTTCCGCGCTTCCACGTACCGGTATCGGTGCTACATAGGTTAGAACAAATAGTAACACGCCGAGATGAAGATGGAGATGATTAGAGTAGAGTAGGATTTAGGAAGAGTTGGAGAAGAGGTGTGGAAAAATGTTTAAAATTAGGAGTACTTAAAGTTTTTTTTACCCCACATCACCCCCACCCTCCCCCCAAAAGGCCTGGACCCCCCCCCCCCACAACCCACCCAACGGCTTATAGCCGTTTGGGAAGTGGGTGCCCAGCCAAACGACTCTTTTGGCCAAAAAAAAATAGCCGTTGTGACCCGGACCCAACCCGACCAGGCCGGGTCACCTTTTATTGGAACCGAGCCCCCCACCCCCCATCCGCCCGGTTCGGGTCAACACCCAATCCCGGACCGCGAGACCAGACCGGTCCCGGGCCCGCACAGTATCGGGCCGAGCCGGGTCACAAGCCGGGTGGCCCGAACCGAATCCACCATTAAATGATACGGAGTAATACATTTTCTTTTTCAATGCAAGAATATATCTGTTTAGTAGTTTCGATATATCCAATCTAAAAACTAAATTAAAATTAATACTAAACCAGATTAGATGCCAAGGCAGAAGCATATTAAAAAATGTGTTCAAAAAAAGTATTTCTATTCAAAAAAAAAATTGTAAAATAGTTTCAATAACCCAAAATATTGTTGTTAGATCTGCAGTTGGACATGACTGAACCTAAATAGACATGACAAGCTTAAGATTAGGCTAATCTTAGATACTACGTAGGTCATAACTCATTATCATATCAAATCACACCAAAAAAACATCCCACATCTTAAATGATACAACGTGTCACATAGATGTTAAGCACACTTGTATACAACTTATACAAGTACAATTTGCTGCCATACAAATAAAACCGTCTCCAAAAAGCACTTGTCTCTGTCTCTGTGATGTTATCTACTTTAATTGATTTTTATGTCAAACCAAAAAATTTCAATCCAATTAAAAGCATTCTAAAAACTTCTTTAATTGTTTCATATTTTCTGTTTTTTTATGTTAGGCTGAACCGCTGAACGGTTGTACCAAGCAATTGAGGTACACCAAGCCAAGAGACCCGATCTGGATAAGTGAACACACACACACATAAATGTTGCGTGGAACAGTAAAAAGAAAAACCACAGCTTCATTGTGACTTGTAACAAACAACCAGTCAACCACTGCTAGTAGCTGAGCTTAAAACTTGTGGTTTGAATCTAGTGAATGAAAGCAAATCACGATTGACTCAAACCAAATAAAGTAATGTTGGACAGCAGCTTTGGACGACATAGTAATGCAGAAAGGCTTCCCTTTAAATGATGGATAACACATCAAACGTCAAAAGTAGGGTTTTTATGTCAACCTCACAAGGGATATCACATTCTAACTCCAACATTATTATTACAAAGGCTGGAAACACTACACTTATGTGGGAAGACACAAACTCGTCTGATCTAAGAAGACACCCCCATCCATACAAGTAGTAGAAGCAATTAGAGCACCCTGCAGGAAAAGAGAATAGAGGGTGTAATTATAATTAAAAACACATCATTGCTGCTTTAGAAAAAAGTAAATTGAGCACAATAATAAAATTCTATCATGATTCATGAACAACCAAACCATGCAAAAGCAGATGAACACAACAGGTTCAAATAAAGGACTCACATATCATGTTTGTCACTGTCTCACTCACAGTATGAACTAAATTTTACCTCCCCAGCACCCCTCAAATTAAAAGAAAATTCAAACTCTTTTAGTTCCGAAAAATAGTCCAGTTGTAAAAGCCAACATTGATTCATAAGTAAACTTCCATGTAAAGCAAAGCACCAAGCGGGGTTTCAGTCAATTCCACAACAAGCTTTGGAAATAATTTATAGGGGTATAAAAGACCATTCTTAACTTATAACAGCTTGTACTTTGAAAGCTGATTAAAAAAATTGTACATTAAATACTTGATTGTTTTAAGAGGTAAATACATATAAAAAGTTTACCTCTGAGCTGGTCATGTTCACCACCCTCCCTTGCTAGCTCCTCCATTACTCTCTTTGCCACCCCATGAGGTAGATGATGATGCCTTACCCCACGCATCAGCAGCAGCCCCAGCGCCTTCTTTGGGTTTTATAGATTCGGATGTGTTGCCCCAGGATGATGCCTTACTGGCACCACCATCTGCATCACCGCCAGCACTATTCCAACTTCCCCCCTTATTAGTATTATTATCGTCACTGGTAGCTTTCCAGCCACTGCCACCACCATCCCCAGAATTCCAACTGCTCGGTGGCTTGCTATCGCCACTAAAATCACTCGTGTTCTTCTGCTGCTCACCACCACCTGATTGCCACTGGCCTTTCCCAATTCCACCTTCGTTCCAACTATTTCCTTTATTACTATCACTGGAAGCTTTCCAGCCACTGCCTGCATCACCGCCTGACCCATTATTCCAACTACTCAGCTTATTCCCATCACCTGTGGACCAACTCTGTGAATTGCCACTTCCATTCCAACTTCCCTTGTTCTCATTAGCTTTCCAGCTGCTGCCGCCATCACCACTTGACCCATTGCCCCAACTGCTCTGCTTATTGCCATCACCGCTGAAATCATTTCTACTGTTATTGTTCCATTCATCGGTTTGATCTCTTCTACCACGTCCTCTCCCCCCAAAACCACCGCTGCCCCTATCAAAACCACCACCCCTACCTCGAAATCCACCGCCACCCCTTTCAGATCCACCACCTCTGCCCTGATAACCTCCTCCCCTATCATAGCCACCTCTTCCACGATATCCTCCCCCCCTATCGAATCCACCTCCACGGCCACCCCTCCACCCACCTCTTCCTCCCCGTTCATTGGAGCTGTCATCTTGATGTTCATTCCCGCCGCCAAAGCCACTGCCTCCTGAGTTCCAGTTACTTTCACTCTTCCACCCAGATGACTGGTTTCCACTACTCCCCCAACCAACTGCCGAACTCTCATTGGAACTTTTATTGTTCCATCCTGACGACTGTTTTGTTTCAGAACCACTTCCTTTACCTGTTGCATTCCACCCACCACCAACTTCATTGGTATCATCTGTTCCTTTGTCCACAATTGGTTTCTTGGTCCAACTAGATGGCTGGCTTTCACCAGCAGAAGGTTTGGCAGCATTCCATCCTCCTCCACTCTGCCAATCAGCTTGTTTATTATTACAAGCAGCACCATCTTTGTTATCATCGGGTTTTTCAGATTGGTCACTTTTCCAACCCAAGCTTGATCCTGCTTTGCTGTTCCATTTCTCACCTGCTACATCTTGTTTACTACCCCAATCATCTGTTTTGTTTTCATCAGTTGATTTTACCTTTCCCCAAGAGCTTTCTTGGGAGCTCTTCCAACTGCATTCTCCAGCGGCAGCAGAACCCCATCCTTCCTGCTTTTCTGATTGGCTTTTCCAGCTTGAACCACCACATTCAGCATCTTTCACTACACCCCAACCTTGGGGATTCTTTCCAGAGCTATTATCATCCCTGCTAGATGCATTTAGATTCCCCCAATCATCCTTTTTGCTTCCATCAGATGTCCTACCCCAAGAACTTTCACTCTTCCAACTATTCGATGGCAGCCCCCCAGCAGCAGCAAATCCTGACCCGAAATTACCTTCAGTGTCCTTACCCCAGCTATTTGACTCACCTCCATGATCAAAAGACCTTCCTCTACCTCCACCCCTACCAAAACTGTCTCGTCCCCTGCCCCTTCCTCTTCTTCCACCACCACGGCCCCCATCAGAAGCCCCCCCACCGCTCCCCCAACTTCCTTGTTGATGTGGTCCATCACCAGAAGATTGACCTTCTTGTTTACTCCATGAGCCACCACCATCCTGCTTTCCCCAAGAGTATCCGCCGCCGTCTTGTTTACTCCATGAGCCACCACCATCCTGCTTTCCAAAAGAGGATCCACCACCGTCTTGTTTACTCCAAGAGCCGCCACCATCCTGCTTTCCCCAAGTGGATCCGCCACCGTCTTGTTTACTCCATGAGCCGCCACCATCCTGCTTTCCAAAAGAGGATCCACCACCGTCTTGTTTACTCCAAGAGCTGCCACCATCCTGCTTTCCCCAAGAGGATCCGCCACTGTCTTGTTTACTCCATGAGCCGCCACCATCCTGCTTTCCAAAAGAGGATCCACCACCGTCTTGTTTATTCCATGAGCCACCACCATCCTGCTTTCCCCAAGAGGATCCGCCCCCAACAGAACTACTATTATGTGCCTCCTTACTGTCTTGTTGACCCCAGGAAGATCCTCCGCCTTGCTTTCCCCATGAGGATTTATCTTCCTTATTATTCCAGGAAGATCCCACATCTTGTTTTCCTACCGAACCACCGCCATTCTTTTTTCCCCAAGATGACCCACCATCCTCACCTCCACCAGAAATATTGGGTACCTTACTCTCCTGTTGGCCCCAAGATGATCCTCCTTGTTTTCCCCAGGAGGATTTCTCCTCCTTGCTGGACCAAGCAGATCCCACATCTTGCCCCTTACCATCATGTTGGCCCAAAGATGACCCTCCACCCTGTGCTGCCCATGATGATTCATCTTCCTTCTTATTGCCCCAAGAAGATCCCACATCTTGCTGTACCTTATTATCTTGTTTCCCCCATTGGGATCCACCGTCCTGCGAAATGCCTGCACTACCCCATCCACCGCTTTCACTCACTGGACCAGGTAAAGAGCTAGAAGCTGCTCCCTTACTGACCCAAGCATCATTGTTTGCAACGGTAGTGCCTTTACCTTGAGAACTCGCAGAATTTCCCCAACTAGGCCCATCATTTCTTTCGCTCTGCACTTTGTTGCCCCATCCTTCGCTTGGGCCTTCATTCTTTGCTGCAGCACCCCAGCTGGAACCATCATTCTTGACTATGCTTCCCTCACATGCTTCAGAAGTTTTACCCCAACTGTCAGAACCAGAGGTTCCAGCCACTGAAGTAGAAGCAACTTTTTTCCAACTATCACTTCCTCCCCAGCCACTACCTTGCCCAGCATCTTTACTTTGACTTGTCCCTATTTCCCAAGCAGAACTCCCAGTATCTTCTATCCAAATAACATAAAGTAAAAAAAAAAGAGGTAAGAGTATAATAAATATACAGATGGGAAATAATTTCATTTTGCATGTCGCTGAAATAACATGGATCCAAAATAAAAATTGAGTTCAAGTGTTCAACACATCAAAATCAAACACGTAGTCACGTATGCAAATAGGAGTTTTACAGTTTCAGATAAAAACAACCAAACTGGCTTCACATAGCGCAGCCTGGATACTTGTTTCAATTCTTGTCTAGTTTGGTAACTGTCAAAACAGTTGCATGTAAATCATACCTTTATTAACATCAACTGCAGTGAGAGAACTGGTATTAGGGTCTTGTACAGTCTGTAAAATGCAGACGCTTTACCATGACGTATTCATACAAACTAGAACCTATGGCAAATAAAGTAAGATGGAAAATGAAAACATCAAGATTGGAACTTGTACATACTGGTAAGCTCGATGAAGGGAAAGAAGGCCAGGAGTTCCTGCAAAAGTAAGCACAAAATTACTGTATGATATGTTTTCAAAACTGTTATACCAACTGGGGAGTAAGAAACAGAAATATAAGTAACAAGCAGTGAAGGGATACGTAACTTTTTTTGTGTGTGTAGGTTGAAAGGATACATATATATGCTACAAAGATAAATTACTGGCAACACACTTCAAAAAGTTAAAGGAGTAGTGAACTTCAACTGTAGTTAGTAGTTACTACTTACTATGGGTAATAAACAAAATAAAAACACACCAATACTATCAATCTTAAGCATATTTATAGAAAAAAAAATGAAAAGGAAACTCATTAGGTCTAAATGAAAAGAAAAAGATTGAAAAGATAAGTAATTGCAAAATAACTCAGCTTCCACCTTGGGCAAGGAAATGTCTATCAGTTCCACCTAGCACACAAGCAGAATTATCACTCCAAAATATCGATCATACTATTAATGAACAAAGGACATCTGTTTATACTGGTTTAAGTGTCTTGGTAGACAGGTATTAGAGTAAACATATACCTGTTACAATATCTCTACTAGAAAGTAGGAATTATTAACTAAAATAGACTTCTAATGCTAGTCGGAAACTACTATTAGTCTATTACTAATAACCATAGGAAACTATTAATAATAGATATAAAAAAATTAAAGACAATATATATAATATTAATAACAACAATAATAATAGGCTTTTTCCGTCTATATCACCCTAGTTTAACATTGCACCAGAATGTGGACTCTTATCACTTCTAAATTTGTAATCTAATCTTTTCTTGTTAGGTACCAACAGCTGAAGGCTACTACATGAATACAAGTGAGTTATTGTTTGATAACAACTTTATAACATCAAAAGCAAATGATTGATAATGAATTTGCACTCCATCAGTCCATCCCAAAATTTTCTGCAGGGCAATCAACTAAAAAATATAGAAATGCAAAATAACTGATCAAACATAGGTTTTATCGCATAGGCTAAGGAGGATAACCTTCCATTAGATGATAATCCTGCATTCCAACTATCATCTTGTGCCGCTTGAATCCCACCATCAGCCCAATCTTCAAATGAAATGAGACAATTATTACATGATAGAGGTAATAAAAATTCTCGAAAGGAAAGTGTTAGAGATGCAGTGTAAACACAAACATACATGCATGCAGACAAACGCCTAAGGTACAGGGAAAGATGTTTGATAAAAAGGGTAGCCTCGATACATAGGGAAGATATCTACACTATTGTTAGACCATACTTCTTCCATTTTTATCAATTGCTCAAATATTGTTTTCATGAAGCTCAAGAAAAACATAGTACAGGTACTGCATAGTAGGAAAGAGAAGATCATCATTATCATTACCCTTACCACAGTAGGGTAAGGGGGGTCGGATGTACGCAGTCTTACCTCTGTACTAAAGCACAAAAAGACTGTTTCCGGATGACCCATATTGAAAATCACATCCAAAATTGCATGGACTGACTACTGCTTCATAACAACGAAGCGCAGACAGTTTAGTGAGCCATTTTACTTTATTCCATCTTATTCTCAAGCCAAAAAAAATAGTGAACTTTTGGCTCCATTGCAAATGATGGAAAAGTAAAAACAGTTGGAAATAGAAAATGAAAACAGTAGGAAATAGAAAATGATGAAGGGTAAAAGTAAAGGTAAAACAAGCCCAATTAGTGAAACAGAAGCCTCGTGTATAGAGTAATATACACGAAAATTATTATAAATCTTTCCAAATATAATGTACTATACCATACTTCTTCCATTTTTATCAATTGCTCAAATATTGTTTTCATGAAGCTCAAGAAAACATAGTACGGGTACTGCATAGTAAGAAAGAGAAGATGAAAAGGTAAAACCAGTAGGAAATAGAAAATGATGAAGGGTAAAAGTAAAGGTAAAACAAGCCAAATTAGTGAAACAGGAGCCTCATGTATAGAGTAATATACACAAAAATTATTATAAATCTTTCCAAATACAATGTACTATAATCTAAAAAATGAAAACAGGAGTATTATGCAGTATATCAATTTAAACAAGTACTCCCTCCGTCCCGCAAAATTCTTCCCAGTTTGACTTGGCACGGAGATTAAGAAAGTGGAATAAAGTGGAAATGTATGATTGTGGTTGTGTAAGAAAAAGGTGAAATGAATGTGAACCACACAAATTATTCAAATATGGTAAGTGGGAAGAATTTTGTGGGACGGCCCAAAAAGGAAAATGGGAAGAATTTTGCCGGACGGAGGGAGTATACCAGTATAACACCAATAAAGCTCTGACAAAACTCACAATATCATATGATCCGATGAAAAGTAAACAAAAAAGAAAGCAATAGCCAAACAGAGCTGCTGAACAAAATCAACTTCAAAGCTACACTCTCCAGGTTAACATATTTGAGCTTAGTTGACCAGATACACAAGTCACTAGTACCTCTTGAACCATCTTGTGCTCCAAACAGATCAAATGGTCTAGAACCCTCTGGATCAGTGCTACTGCAAGTAGTCAGTAATTAACAGAGAACTAAAGATGTACAATCCAAAAGGAAACGAGTTAAAAGAATCTTGTTTGAGTAGATCTGTAGATGTAACAGTACCTCAAAGAAATGTTAGAAGACTTTCCGTGAACCTCAGACAGGTGCTCACTTTTAACTACAAATACATGGAAAAGTTTGAGTAATGGTGTAGCACCCAAGTGACCCAAAACATAACACTGAAAGTAATCAGATTAAGCCATCATACCTGTAAGAATCTGTTGCCGAGAATCAAGTTTCACAGTCACATCAGTTTGGCGTACAGCTAAGACGCGGCAGATGTAACCCTTCAAAGGACCTACTCGTATTCTTACCGACTGGCCAACAGAGAACAGTCCATCTTTATCCTCGCGATGAACTGTACCATTACATCACATATGCATGTCAGTTTCTCAATCTAGCCAATTAAAATGGATGCAGCATAATCTTTGAAAACATACAATTGCTGTTAACATCCCTCCCCCGGCAAGGTTTCTTAGGAGACAAAGGAGTATTTGGAGATGATGGAGAATCATCAAAAGCAGATGATGGCCCGGCCTCATTTTCCTATGGATTTAGAAATGAGAATGAGTGAAGCTTGTGTCACTTGTAAAAAGGGGTACTATCATTGCATATAAACGACCCGAAGGGGAACAACAAACCTTGCCAGACAATAAAACATCATTGCAGGAAATTTTTTCACACATCTGAGCTTTAACGCAGACATAGCGATTATGTTCCTCGCCCAACTCATCATACAAAAAGATGACTCCTTTATAGATTTGTTTGACAGTTCCTTGTCTATCCTGTAAATTATTGATAGATTCACAAAATCATTAGCTTCACGATGGTAATGCATGCCCAAAGGAAGAAGTGAAACTCCTGGAATTTTTTGAAAAAGAAGCAAACCTTTGATGGACCATCCAAAACCCGTACAACATTATTTATGGAGATTGTATTCTGATTTCGGTCTTTTACAGTAAACAACTTTCTATCGAAGCATGCGGCTCTTAGTTCACGAAGTTGAAGGGTTACAAGTGCTGGCCCCTCTGAACCTTCTTTGATGATCTGAGTAAAAAAAAACTTGATGAGAAACCACTGCCTGTGTGAGAGAAGAAGAGAGCAGGAAAAGGGGCACAAAGAGTGTAAATACTTTATACACATTCTCCTTCTCAGTGCCAACAATGATGCCAAAATCCTTACGGCTGCAGTAACCAGGGGAAAAGGATAAACATAAGACAAGATATGAATTACGCACATGACAAGATCCCTGGCAAAAGCAATATAAAACCAGCACACTTACCCAAAGAACACTAGATCGTCTACTTCAAAACTGTTTAAGTTGCCAGAGCTCGATGAACACTCTCCCTTCTCACCGCCTTTCCCAGACCCTTTGTCATTCTTAATTTTCTGCTTTCTCGTGCTCTCGCCATATAGCTGGGAAAGCCACTCGGTGTCCTGTGGCACATTTTTCTTAGGAGGTTCAAACTTCAGGAGCTCAGCTTCAGAAGGCATTACACCCCAAAGGCACAAAGAGTCAACAGACATCTTCTTATATAAATAGCCTTCTTTAAGCATCTTTCCATCAAGAACTTCATACATCTCATTTGTATCACGATCCTTACGGTATGTGATGAGAGGGCGGAAATCCCTGCAATTATAATAAGGGAAGAAGTTTCTTATACTGTTGATCACGAGTGTAAAGAACAAATATATTATTTAAAAGGCAAATATTACTCAAGCTCAGTAGAACTGATAAATCTTGCTGTTGGAATGGAAGCCTTCTTGGCAGCAACTCCCCCGCCCTGTAAATATTTATTAAAAATAAAAAATTGTTTTTGATAAGAGCATTTGCAGTTATAGAACACATAATGAATTCACTTGAAGTATTGATTTTATGATTCTATCACCCACTTAATGTTGCACACTGCGATGTTATTCAAATATTGAATTACCATAGACCTCCGTTAACTGTCTACTTATTTCAAATACCGATAGCCTTTACGAAATAAACTAAAATTACAAGGCCTTTCTAAATCTATGGCATGCTGAAACTACATAAAAACTGAAAGCAAGCAATTCAGAATTACAGAGGGCATTAATGAGAAAAAAATATTACAAATTTATCAGCCAGTGCTTGCAAGTCTATTCTTGGAATCAATTTCACAGTGACAGTGACTTTTGCCTGTCTGTCACTCACTGCAACAACCTAAACATTCACAACTGAAACAATTAGCATTTTTGAAATAAAGGTGCATGTCACTTTGACTACCAAAATTGTAATAAAGAAATGGATACATATAAATGCAAAAACGAATATAGAGCACTGACATTGAATTCAACTAACACTCCCCACAAAGAAAAAATTTTGAAAGTACCTGCGCTAGATCTCCTTTATACCTTCCGCTCTTGACACGAGCCCACATGCCCTTAGAAATTCCATGGCACTTGCTCCGTACAGAGAAGAGTTGAGAGATTTCATTCCTTGGAACTTGAGCCATCCGACTGCAATATATACTAGCAAGCCCTTTACAAGCCTGTACACAAACAATTCCATAAATAAAAAAACAAATTAAATACTCACACGTAACACTTCTTAAACCATACCCCCCCCCCCAATTCACCAATGATCATCAACCAAAAAAGCATAGCATAAAAGTATCACAGAGACTAGGAAGTGTGCCTCGATAACATCACGCTGTTTCTCAGCTTCAATATAAACAAAGCCCTTCACGTGATCAGGAGCATAAACAGAGATTGTCTGAATTTTTGTTCCCAGAGCATGCAAGTCTACATATTTCTGCATAAGGCAGAAAGCTGAATGCCTTTCACGTCCAACCTACATTTTACAATTAATTAGCACAAACACCGCACAAGAGAATCAGAAGTGGATGGGAACATAACTAGCAATGTTGAGTTTTTATTACAAAGTTTGTTATCAAAAAATGTTTACCGTGCATTTGACTTTCCAAATAGTAGGGTCCGTGGAGGAGGGAACAGATATGTCCTCATCGATAAATCCTTTCCTTTCATAGCCATCTTCTGCATATCTAACAAAACTAGAACTAGGCTTGTAACGCTCTCTCAACATTTTCTCTAGCTCCTCTTCATCCATCTCCTCTTCTTTAGGTACTAGAGGGAAAACAGGGCGCTTAACATGTTCATTCTGGACTCCCTCATCAACACCTAAATCTTCTTGGATAAAATCTGAAGTGTCAAAAAATGGCAAACGAATATCATTTGAACACATAAATCAATGTGTGTGCATGGCCATGCATGCTCAGTCGCTCACACAGCCAAGTTATTATCTTTTTCTGAACAAGAACTTTCCAAAATAACTTTTTGGCATTTCAGAGGCTCCAGAATAGATACATCTCATGAAATTAAAGACCTACAGGTATCTGCATGGCTATTAAATTGTAGAGATATAAATGAAACAAAATTAAAATGTCAACCATATTTTGTTCACTAACCAATGCACGTATCTTATGCTCCTACAAAGAATTCAAGTAAACGATACTGAAACTTTGTGTATAAGCAGACTAGCAGAGTCATGACTTAGGTCTCATGTTTTAACTAACTAGATCAAAGAGAGGCTCATGATTAAAATACATTAATTTAAGAATAAACTCAGGCAACTCCTTAATACCTTATAAACCACAACAAAGTCAGGAATAGACTAAGCAAATATCTTAAGTTTCAAAAGAACCCGAAGGTCCCAACCCCAAAAACCAAAAAATGGAAAATAAAAACATAACACAAAATGAATCGCCAATTAGAAAGTTGTCACATCCCCAATTTTCATACTCGTATTTCTGATCAACTGCAACGAAAATCCCCAGTTCTTCAACATCTCAATGCAGAAAGAATACCAAAAATAGGAAACAGCGACTGGAGCCCTAATTTGGGTAGCCATTGCCAAAAAAGTCAAAAACAAAATGCAGAGGCGGAAACAGAAAAAACGAGGGCAGCAAATATTTGTGATCTATATACCATCGACGTTGAAATCAGAATCGTCACTGAAGTCGTCGTCGTCGTCTCCGACCTCGTGCGCACTGTCTTCGAAGAACTGCAGCACATCACGCTTGTGCCTTTTGCCGGTCTTGTCATCATCCTTTCCCCTGCCGGGATCAGCCTTCCGCTTTCCCGCCGAGCCCTTGTCGCCGGCGGAGACCTTCTCCTTGCCCTTAGCTGAGACCATTTTACGACCACCAACAAAATGACAGACACTATTGCAAATAGTGAGTGTGGTGGAGTCGTATATAGGACTTGGGGCGAGGCACCTGGCAGGCTATCACGCTTCGCGACACCACTGCCTGGATGTTACACAACTGCCCTCGAAGCTGACCGAAATCCCCTTCCTGTCCTCGGCACAACTAGGGATGGCAATGGGGCGGGGTTGGGGCGAGGTTCACTCCCTCATCCCCGCCCCGTGTCTAAAAAATCGCCCCCCACCCCCGCCCCATCCCCCACTACTATTCGACCCGCCTCATCCCCGTCCCGACCCGCTAGACCCACGGGTACCCAATGGGGGAAGTACTCGTCAAAAATTAACATCATTTTAGACTGACAATTTTTCAAAAATTAAACAACACTTCTAGTAGCCAATTTTTTTTTTTACTTTTTAAGGGTTGGTTTGCCACTCTTTTTTTAAAAAAAAAAAGCACTTCTCAGCTTTTGGCTTTAAAAAAACACTTATTTTTCCAAACACTACAACTTTTATTTTTCTCGTCTTTCGCGTCAAAAGTGCTTTTACTTTTTCTATTACACAAAAAACACTTATTTTACCAAACACTACCCACTTTTACTTTTCAAAATCACTTTTTTCTCAAACACTATCAACTTTTATTTAATCACTTCTCCCCATTTCATTAAAAAAAACACTTTTTTAAAAGCAGAAGTTGTTGCAAACAGACCCTAAGTGTCAATGTAATCTTACATCCCATTTCAAATCTAGAACACATTATACACGCCCTAATTTAGTCATTTTTATCAAACTCTAAATTAGCATTGATTAGCTCTATAATATTTTCTTAAACCCTGCATTCAATCAATCATGGTCATTTGATGGCATCTAGGACGGCGGCATATGATCACAAAATTTTAAGAGCCCTAACTACAATCATAAAGATGACATTCAAAAGAAAAGAATTAATGCATTGTAATAGTAAAGGAAAAAAACTTTCACACCGTGCCTAGGGCGTTTAAGCTAATATCACTTTATAACTTTCCCAAATTCATTTTACTTTATCCCTAAACAAATCATTTTACTTTATGATTTTGATAAGCAATTTTACAAGATAGCTTAGTTATTAAACAAGAATTAGATAGACCCATTAGGCACAATCCATTAGATAGGAAACCACTAAACCCACCGGGCCACCATGCTATTTTAATTACTTCGTATTAGTATTACTATTATTATTAGTATTATTTTTGAGATTATTATTATTAATTATTATGGGGGACGGGCGGGGACGGTGTGGGGGGTGCATAACCCATCACCCGCCCCATATTTATGCGGGGAGAAAATATCTCCCCCACCCCACCACCCGCCCCACCCCACCACCCGCCCCAACTCCCCCCCACGGGGCGGTTCCCCACGGGCCCCCCGCCCCCATTGCCATCCTTAGGCACAACTGATTGTAATTATAAAAAAAGATTGACACCTCATCCCCAAGGGCCGCCCACCGCCGACCAGACGGTACAATGGAATGATATAAATTGGACTATAATCTCAATTTGACAGATAGAAAGTGAGGTTCTGTCCTCGGTACTTGTAGAGGTCCTTTGTTGAGTAACCTCTCATCGCAGTACTGGGAGTTGAACCCGAAATCTAACCTTTGTGGCACTCTCTCGCTACCAGTTGAGCTACGCACATCGATGTACAACTGATTTATACAATACATGGTGTTAGTCACATGGATATTGTCTCTACTTAAAAAATGATGTGACACCCTATCTTTGAGGGCTCCTAGCATCGACCGGACAGCTAGTTGGGATGATGTAAATTGAGTTTTAATCTCATTCTAATAGAAAGAGAGTGCGGCTCCATCTTAAGTCATTGCTTGGAGTTGAACTTAGGACCTCTCTCTTGTGGCACTCTCTTCCTACCAGGTGCGCTACGTCCCCCGGTGATATTGTGTCTACTTAAAAAAATGACGGAGATGAGTCACAATAGCCCATGTAACTCCATAAGAAAGTCGCATCTGTTTAAAAAAATTGTTAGTTCAAATTTGTGGTTCCAGTTTTAGAAATTGAGAATAGAAATGCAAATTTCGAATGAGTCGAATCTGTTTCAGTTAACTTCGACTTATAATGAGGATTGACCTGCTCAACTTGAGTCAGTTTTGATTCATAAATTTCGATAGGTACGGTTTATAATGGTTATAATTTGTTTTAACAAGTTTTGATTGATTTTTATTGGTGAATTTCGGTTCAATAGATTTTTAATTAATAGTATAAACTATAAATCAAACTGCCGATGAACTAGTCAATTTTAATTGGTTTCAAATTCATTTAGTTTGTTTTTTATCAGTTTAATTTTGCTTCATTTGTCGAACAACTTCCATTATAAATATGTCAGAATTTCTGCTATAAATGTTAGGTTCTAAGCTTTGGATTATGGTTCTCAACCATAACAATGTCAAATTTCCAATGGTAAATGTTGTAGCCTTTGAATAATGGTCCCCGATCACAACAGTAACCCAACAATATACTCTTGATCTTTAGGTCGAGAGTCAGATATACCCATTGATTTTAAATAAATAATCAAAAATAAATTAATGAATTATATTGAGGTCGGAAAACGAAAAATAATTTTTTTTAAAAAATAGTGTTCAATGCTTTCTTATTTTTTAAATCAAAAGTTAATATGTTAACATAAAAGGATGCATTGAGCACAAAATGACATTTTAGAGTTTTAAGTTTTCAAAACATTTTGCAATAATCATAATTATAAGTTTTAGTTCTAAAATATTGTTTTTATATGTTAACTATATTAAGTTGATATTACAGTCAAAAAAATATTAAATTGATATTGAAAAATAAAAGAAAGCATTCAACAAAAAAATTATTTTTTAACTTTTTAGTTTTCAATATCCCAACTTGGTATATTCACTAATCTATCTATTTCGGTACTTTTAAATATATATATTTTTATTTATTTAAAGCTCAAAATGCAAATTTGTTCTTAAATTTGAATTCTGGAGACAATTTTTCAAATTTCAAAACTTTAGGGGTATATGTATCCGCACGTGAAGTTAAACATCATGGATATTTTTTCACATATTCGCTTTAATGATTGCAAAATTTATTTCAAACCGGTGCCTTTATTTGAATGTTGTAACACCGTCCCCAAATGTATTTACTTTTAAGTGAATAATGTATTGAATCTTATGGGATGGTTAATGAGTATACGAAGTTGTGAATTTCTAATATGTCTTTTGCGTGAATAGTAAATTCGCACGTGGGGCCCACACCGGGAGCGGGGCCGCCCGATATTCCCGAGACCGTATATTTTATGCACCGTGGTCGAAATAATGTTCATACAGAGATGGATAATTTATTTGGTCCAAAGAAATGACATAATGTAGACCGATTGGTCAAAAGAAGCCCAAATATCGGTTTTGGCAATTTCACAGATAATAGCCCGGAAATGAATTTCGGAGACTTATAAATTTAAGTTGGGGAATGTGTATTCATTATAAAGGGTATAATGATTATGAACACATAATATATTTTATTTGACCCGATAAAATAAATATAATTTAAAACAGTCTGAAAAATACAACTTTCAGACCGATTGCACACTTCTGGACAAAAAGGGTTGACCTCCCACGTGGGTGGGGGCCAACCCACGAATTTGGCCACTCAAATTAAGGAGTTGGCCGGCTGTTAGAGTAGGGAATCATGGGAGATGATATTGAGATGAAGGAATTGGCATCAAACAAAATGGGGTAGACCCACACCCATGTTTATTTGCCCATTAAGACAAAAGAGCAATTCCTCTCTCTCCCTCATTCTTTCTCTCGGCCAGCACAAACCCCAGCAAGACCAAGAAAACCTCCATCCTCCTTTTCCCATCCTTGAAGAGGGCTCAAGCAATAGAGGTCCAAGGGGAAAGATTAAAGGGAGAAAAAGCTAGGAAAAGTGAGAAAGATGAAGGTAATAACCTTATATTAACTTTTCCTTTATTTATCTTCTATCATATGAGATATATATCATAGGGAGGACCTTGAGGATTTTTCTACATGATTTAAGTGTGGGATAATAGGTTGGAAAGTGGTTCTATGTCCAAGAACGGACTTGGAAGCCAAACCGACAAGTTCACCGGAAAATAACCTTTTAGAGGTTATTTGTATTGATTAAGTTTTTATGATGTTAAACCCTGTTAGGAACTTGATTAAAGCATTTTTGAGCTTCGCCGGAGTTTCGCCGGAGTTGGTCAAAGTTCGCCGGAGTTGGTCAAAGTTTCACCGGAATTAGTCAAAGTTCAATCGGGGACGTAGAACGCGCTTAAGCTCATTTAAGGTGAGGATGACCGACTATATCGCTTATAATCTTTGGGTTAATTTCATGAGATTTCCTAAATGATTTCACAATGTGATTTGCATGGATTATTAATGGTTAATAATGCCTAAATGAAATTTCTATTGATTATAAGTATAGTTTGCATAATATACAATTTTATTGAATAAATTGTGTATGTTTAAATGTTATGAATATGATGGCATGATAGTAGTATCAACCATAAATCCCATTTGTGATAAGTATGCTTTTATTTCATGAGAAGAAGCCATGAAGGAATAAAAGTGATATTTTGATATTAAGGCCAAATTACATATTGAATGAAGAATTATATTGAAATGAGTGAATAACTAGTATTTAAATATTAGTTGGTATTGTAGTTGAATAATGGATGAATGGATCCTAAGAAATTGAATAGTAAAGAATCGGTGATTATTGAGCTGGGCTCTAGACCGATGTAGATAACGATGATTATTGAGCTGGGCTCTAGACCATAGTAGATAACGGTGATTATTGAGCTGGGCTCTAGACCGTAGTAGATATCGGTGATTATTGAGCTGGGCTCTAGACCGGTGTAGATGACGGTGATTATTGAGCTGGGCTCTAGACCGTAGTAGGTAACGGTGATTATTGAGCTGGGCTCTAGACCGTAGTAGATAACGGTGATTATTGAGCTGAGCTCTAGACCGTGGTAAATAACGATGAATTGACACTAAACGAAACAAAGTTAACTATGATATGATAATACCCTGGTTGAGGGTCTTGGAAATTGAAACATTGATTATACTTAGTATAGTTGTCATTGTACTTGTCAAATACTTCCAAGTACTGACCTCCCCTTCACGGGGGAGGCCACCTCACAGTTTCAGGTAGGAGCTGAGCTTGCTACCAGTGCCCGTTGCTCCGGGAGAATTCAAGGAAGGAAGACGTGGTTCGTGCTTCCTCCGTTCCTGTTTTTAAAACATTTAAATTAATGCTCATGGATATTATACTTTTGAATAATCATTTGGGGGCTTGTATGCCCATGTTTGCCAAAGTGTGGCACGAACACTTGTATTAAATGTTTCCGCTGCTTTGAATGAATATTTTACATTTTGTTTGTCTATGGATGTACTATGTGTGAACGATATCCCAGACGCCTTGTATAGTATGAATGTGTTGGACTGCGGTTGACTATTCGTACTGTACGGCGGATTGTTGACGTGTCCGGATAGGTCCGGGGCGTGACAAATGTAGACAATTTAAAGTCAAAAGTGAAAAACAATGAGATGGTTAAATGTTTTTCACTTTTTATATTACACGAAAAAAATCATTATTCCACCAAAAACTATAACCTTACCTTTTCGAATCCATTTTTCAAACATTATCAACTTTGACTATTAATCATATATTCATATCTATATAATCTCTAATAAAATAATCATTTATCAAAAGTCAACTAAAATGAAACAATCACTTAATCACTTAATTCATTATAAAATGAGGACAATAAACTACTAAGCATTTGTTTAGTTGATGACAAACTAAAAGTTCATCAACATATCACACTAAAAATGCTCAGGATGATCAAAACAATTTGTTATATCATAATGAAACCTACCAAAATGTACATATTTGATAATAATTCTCAAAATGTATACCACTTTAAAAACAAATGTTTCCTCCGTTCTGAATTGAATTGCAATTTGCGGTTTTAAGGTTGACTGACTACAAAGTTAAATCATCTATGTGGACGATCTAATTAGTTTTAGTAATTAAAATTGACATGCATATTTGATACTAGTAGTTGATACTACACCAAAAGTTCTATAAAGTCAGGAAGTCCAAATTAAAATATAATAAAAAATGATATGCTAAATAAATAGATAAGGTGGAATTATGTTGACTAAGAAAAATTTACTTTGTAAATCATTTGGGATGGAGTGAGTATATTGTCTGAAATGTCTCTTATTCATTCAAGTTGGCTTTAATATGACATTAACTGTTGTGAATTCCATTGAAAGGTATCTCTAAGCGGGTGACAACTGACAACTAGTCATAGTTTTTACTCTCACATCTCTCGGTGAAATCTATCGAGTGATACAAATGTACATGAAAGAGGTCATCACATAAAAACTATCACTCGGAATGAAAAAGTGTCTACTTGTTAAATGAAAAATAAATCTAGAATTGCATATATTTGTAAAATAATGTTAATATATTTCTTAATACCATGTTTACTCATATTTGTTCCTTAATATATTTGTTTACTAAAAAAGTGCAGCAAATAAGATTTATCCAAAAGAGCAGATAAGATTTATCCAAAAGTGCAGTAGATCAAGGTTATTATGCATCAGATTAACAGATTGGACGGCTGAGATTAATTTTATTTTTACACGTTAATATGTCTTCTCACCTTACATATAAGGGGTGGACTCGGGCCAGGAAAGTTGGGCCCGAGCCCGAACCGCCGGTGGGCGGTTCCGGTCCCGGTTCCGGGCCAAACCGGGCCGGGCCTAACTGGTTCTAATTTTTTTTTTTGGCTCTTCTATTTAACCCCCAACCCCTCCCCCTCAACCCCAAACCACCCCAAACCACCTCAAATGGCCCAAAATACCTAATCCAACCCAAAACTTAAAAAAATTCAAAAAATAAAAAAAAAAATAAAAAACCGGCCCGAACCGGTCGGGCCGGTTCACCAAAAACTGGACCCGAGCCCAGACCGCCCAGCAGCCGGGCCGGGCCGAACCGAACCGGTGGACCCACCGGGCCCCAGGCCGGGCCGGGCCGGGCCAAACAGTAACCGGGCCGGGCCGGGCCGCCCGGCCCGAGTCCACCCCTACTTACACACACAAGTTTTGGTTCAAATAAGAACATGATCTTAGGAGAGAAATGAGAATGAATTTGGAGAGTTAGATTTGCTTTAAGTGAAATTCAATGTGCATTAGATGAAACTGTAATGTGCATTAGGTGAAATTAAAATGAACAACACAAATGGTACGATACAGTGGCATTATGTGAAGTTGATTTGTGCATTAGGTGAAATTGAAATGTGCATTAGGTGAAACTGAAATATGCAGAATAAAAGATACGAAGTGGTGTTATTTTTGTAAATTTTATTTCGCACATTTCAGTTTCACCTAATGCACACCTGAACTTAAATATTTATTCTGCACATTTCAATATCATCTAATGCACATTTCAGTTTCACCAAATGCACAATTCAATTTTACATAATACAATCAAACGGTCCAGATTTTTTCTCATTTCTCTCATGAGAATCCGTTCTTACCGGAACCGCACCATATATCGGAACCGCACCATATATATATATATATATATATATATATATATATATATATATATATATAGACAAATCTTCATGTCAGGCCGCCCTGATGGGATGCTCCGTCTGGCCGAGGGCATTTCGGGCACTTCCCGGTGGAAGATTTTGATGCAGTTTTTTGAGCATGTTCTTCATGAAGTCTAGTTTATCCATACCAAATTTCAGATAAAAATTCAATCGGGAAGGCACTCAAATAATTTCTTGAAATTAACTGGGTAGTTCATACATATAAACTGCCCAGTTAACTTCATGAAGAACATTGCAAATACAAGTATTTAAGTGTGTTGCATATGTTCAATGCTTGATCTCGTTGTCCAAAAACAAGACTCAAAAGAAGGTTTGAAATCATGTTGATCATCCTCAGTTGCAAAAAATCTCAAACCAATGAGTAGAAATATACTTGCAACATGATTCACATATTGTCATTTTAACAATTATCTCAACTGGAAATTTTACATTAAGTGAAGTCCCGAATTTCATTGTCCATGCCAGAGCATGAGCAAAAGCCAATCACAAAGACTACAAAAAAAAATTTCTTTAGTTATAATTTGGTCAAAGGAAAAAGGTGCAAATAGGCCCATGTACTAACTAAAAAGGGTCAAATAAGCCCTTATTTAGGAGGTTCTGTCCGACCGTCGTCATTTGGGGTGGTTCCCAGTGAAATTTTTTTATGAAAGTTTTTGAGCATCTTATTCATCAAGTCTAGTTTACTCATACCAAATTTCAGCTAAACCTTCAATCGGGAAGGCATTCAAATGAATTCTTGAAGATAACTGCGCTTCTAACTGCGCAGTTATATTCAAGAATTCATTTAAATGCCTTCTCGATTGAAGTTTTAGTTGAAATTTGGTATGAGTAAACTAGACTTCATGAATAAGATGCTCAAAAAATTTCATCGAAAAAATCCACCGGGAACCCACCCCAAATGGCGACAGCCGGACAGAGCCTCCTAAAAGAGGGCTTATTTGACCTCTTTTGATTAGTACATGGGTCTATTTGCACCTTTTCCCTTTTCATCTATTTGCAATAGATGAAGTACAATTCATCAAGTAAAGAACCAAGTTTAACACGCCCCAACCAAACATATCAATGTGTGGTACCCTTTCAAGTGAGAAATAATAATTATAATGTCACTATAGCTACAGTTTTTCAATTCTCAACCGTCCCTTTGGATTAAATAATCTTTATGTGTTCCACATTTTAAAAAGTTTCTCAATTTTAAAACTTGTTATCTCAAGTTTCTTTTTATGTTAAGTGATCTCAACATGGGAGCACATCTGCTCCCCCAAGGTGAATTCTCACTGCCTGTTTTAGCTACACGAATACGATATGTCCCAAAGGTGATGATTCTTGAGCTGTTGATTCATATACATTTGGGTTGTGTATTCATATACACCATGAAGATGATTTGGACGGATGAAAAAAATCATGAGGTGATAAAGCTCACTGCTCTTTTCAAACATAATGTTGTTAGTCCATATCCTTGAATCATCTTGGTGGAGTTATAGTATCCCAAAATACAAACCTCTTAATGAGAGTGAGAGTTGGAGTTTGTTTCTCCATTTCAAATTTGTAGTGCGAACCATTCCCCTATTTGAACATTTGTATATTCTAATGAGTGAGAGTTGGAATTTGCCAAGTATTCAAGGAAAGCCTTCACACCTGAAGTCCAGACTTTCATCAAAAGGACCAAGTTCCATTGCTCCAGCAATCCAAAAGCTGGATACTGCCGCTCCAGGAGATAAAATGTTACGCAAAAGCGGGCTCAAATGCTGAAAATGGATTTGCAGTCATGTCACACCTTCAAACTCCGGTCCAAACTTACACAGAACAGTCATAAATGTATGTGTGGGCAAGCTTTTTTTTCATACCATTTGAAAGCACAAAGACACCAGAGCAATAAAACTTCTCCCAAAACAAATTCTCTCCTGGGAGCTTTTGAAATCTCTTTACACAAACCAGTCAAGGCACGAATCGTAGAACTAAAATAGATCTTTCCCAGGGCATAAAGTGCACTGTTGAATAGAGCATTGAAATATAGGAATACAAAACAGTACTCCTCAAATTATATGATAAGTCTAGTAGGATTTGAGCATATCAATCATCAATTTAATGAAACCATTTGATAATTGAAATATGTTCATTCCATTAAAAATTTAAAATTTATTCAAAAGCATGTTATAGCAGCTACAATTAACCACAAAACAAGAAAGCTAACTTAGTGTTCCTAAATGGTAACTTTGTTTTTTGGCTTAACAACCGTTTTTACCACACACTAATATTCTGATTTCACACATGGAATTGGTTAATAATGAAGAGTAAAATTGAATACTTCTTAGCTGAATTGCTAACTTAGTTAACTTTGCGGAAATCGCTGAAGTTGTCGGTGAATTGGCTAAATTTGCTTAAATATGAAAAAAAGTTCTACTCCCTCCGTTTCGCAATCAAAGTCACACTTTCCTTTTTTGGATGTTTCAAAAACAAAGTCACACTTCCCTTATTTAGTTATTTCCTTATTTGGCAAAGAAATATGCATCAAAACAGTGTCAAACAGTGTCAAAACAGTGTCAAACAGTGTTCTCACAGTGAAGTCAAACTGTGACTTTGATTGTGAAATGGAGGGAGTATATAAAATCTACTTTATAATAATGAAGTGAAAAAAGCTAAGGCTTAACTAATTCTGACACAAAAGCTTTCATATTAATTTCACTCGGAACCTTTAGGTGGATTGTGTATCGTGGATTTAAAAAGATTCAAAAAAATTGTTTAAAGTCAACTTACCACCAGCTGAAATAAATTTACGTAAATAAACTGCTACATTGATCTCTACAATCTGCTGGATATAAAGGAGCACCCAAATAAAAGACAGGAAGTGTGTGATACCTGAAGCAAGTGATGTCTGCAAAATTTGTTATTAATGATGAGGCAGATGGTTTACAAAATGATGTCTGCAAATTTGTTGTTAATGATGAGGCAGATGGTTTACAAAATTGATTTTAGTACGAATGATAATTTGCCCATTAACTCCTGTAGTATCTAGTAGCTACATAAATTATTACTCCGTATCATAATTCATAATATTGATAAAATGTTACCAGATTCTTTAAAACATGGCTTACAAAAGCAGAAACATAAACATTACCGGGTGAAGGCTATCAGCCCTAATCTTGATTTTCTTCAAGTTCCTGAAATAACCTTTTATAAGAATGAGCATCAATGAGGTCCTTCTCACGCAGATCCTTCAAAAAATCCATAGCATCATGTAGACAATGTTTCCTGCAGACTTCATCAACCACCGTCCTGTAGGTAATGAAATCAACTGATCGTTTGTTTTCATTCATCTCCCGCAAAAACATCACCGCACTTTCCACCTCTCCACCCAAGGCTAGAGCATTCACCAGAGAGTTGTACGATTTGCTACTTGGGGAGAACCCTTTCTTTTTCATCTCATCACATAGCTCCTTGGCATTCTTTGTCCTCCCTTGTGCACACAATCCATGGATCAGATAATCATAAGAAAAAGAATTTGGATGACACTTATAGACAACACCCATCTGGTGAAATATCCTAAGAGCATCATTTACGTGGAGTGAAAGAACGTATCCCTTTATCATAGAATTTAAAGCAAATACGTCTGGTTCAATCATATCATTGATCATCTGTTTAAATAGGCTACGAGCAGTCTCCATATACATGTGATTTATATAAGAATTCCTTCCCCTACTCAACAGGGCAGCAAAAAGAATATTATAAGTCCTGATCGACGGCCTGCAATCCAATTTCTTACTATTCTGCATATGCTTGAATATATTAACGGCCCTAATCAACTTCCTAGCCTCTATGAAGTAATGTATCATAGTATTAAAAAGTGCCTCAGAACCAATTGAGGGAAGAGCAAGAACTTGATTAACAATGTCATCCATCTCCTTATACATTTTGGCCGCACCAAGCTTTTGTATGGTTACGTGAAAGGTGATGACATCATGTCTGAACCTGTGCTGAGTTGACGCCCAGTTGAACAGTTCCAAACACACCAATGGGTCTTCCTCTACACTAATGATACTGTAAAGATCTTCAGGGGTGAAGCGAGGTGGGAGTTGTGAGATTGCCCTTTGAACACGAGATTCATCAAGAACAGGTTTTGAGGCAGCCAGAGCTCTTTTCCGCATTCTTCTTCTCAGTGACCTTGTTGGGGAACCCCTCAGGTGTCGGATTGCAGTAGAAGAATAGAAAGAAACCATCATAAGTTTTTGCCTAGATACATTTAAACGTTCTTTTTCCAAAAGTGACATGGATTTTGTCGAATTGTGTGATTGAATATGAAAGCGGAATATACCATTGGAACGGGAATGGATAAATAAACTGAAACATTTGGAGATTAAGGAGGAACATGTAATTGGATAATTTGGTATTAACGGAGAGTGACACATGGTTGTTACATTTAAGCACGAGGACTGCATATAACGCTTACATATTAACAACATATCAAAATGATATATTGATATTCAGAAAGAAAGAAAGTTTTTTCCCTTCATCTGGGAGTTGGATGAAACTCCACCACAATAGATAATTTCATCTAGGAGTTGGATGAAATTCCACCTCAAAAGATCAATCTTAGATACTATTGTTGTGAAAGGTAAATCAGATTCAATCTGTCCATCTGTAAAATCTAAACTTTTGAAGTTTTACTGGAAAGCTAGCAACGGATATGGATTACAAAATCAGTAGCTTCAGTCAATAAGAACTTCTCAAGCTCACCAAATTAAAAGGAATCTGCAAAATTTAAGAATATCAAATAAATTAGAGCATAAAATGAACCTGAAATGAAAATGCTTCTGCCGCATTACATTTATCAATGAATAGGATACAGAAATGAAATTATACTGCTGCAAAAATTAAGAACTGTTTATCATTAACATCGTCATTCAGGCGATGAAAGGTTGAGCAGATGGTACAAGAACTATCACCAGGAAAAATATGCTCGAGAAACATTAAAATAAAGACTACAGTTGAAAAATACTCAACTTTTTTTAAAACTGTCTGATAAGAATGGAAGTTGAAGCACCCAAAAATGTGGAGGTACGCAGGAGCGGATCTAGCATTTTAAGTTAGTGTGGGCCAAAATGTAATACATATATGACAATAACTACAATTGCTTCTTGTTCAATAGGTTTAAAGTGGATCTTTAAACCTTATCTTTATTACCTTCTTTAACTCTAGTACATGTTTTAAATTTACGGTAAACGTGATGCATAAATTTATCAAATGTTCTGGGAATTAAATACTCAATTGAAAATTTGATGTATTCGAGATTACTATCGTATTAAATTTCTTTGAAAAGGGTCAGAATAAGACACCTCAATTCTGCAAAGCCAGAGTCGCTGCCTTAAAGGCAGAAGACGAAACTAGCCAACTCTTCAAGTGCCTGAGTCGGGATCTTCTATGTATTGGCGCCTGCAGCGGGAGGCGGAGGGGACCTCCGGAAGTGCGTAGGGCAGACGAAAGCTTAGTGAGGAAGTCGCAGAACGACGATTTCGGGGGTGTTTGGAACTTCTTTTTTTTTAAAAGTAGAAGCAGAATCAGAATCAGTTTTCAGAAGCTGGTACCTACCAGCTTCTAAAAAAACTGATTCTGAGAGTAAATTAGAGCATCAGAAGTGCTTCTGGAATTTCACCCAAACACTCCAGCTTCTGCTTCTGCTCCCTGAAGCAGCAGAATCAGTTTTGAGAATCAGATCCAAACACCCCTTCGTTGGGTATTTTTTTTTTTTTGATGGAAGATTTCGTTGGGTAATTCTGTAGTGTTTTAGGCTTTATTTGCAAACGCAAAAACAAGTGTTTTTTAGTTTTTGGTTTAAAAGTACTTTTCAGATTTTCACTCAAAAAAGTTAAAAAAAGTATTTTCAAGTGACAATTTCTACTTGAAAAAAACTTTCTCAATTTTTGTGCAAAAATGTTTTTTACTTTTTTTATTACACAAAAAACATTTATTTTATTACACACTACCAATTTTTACTTTTCAAAATCACCCTTTTCTCAAACACTACCAACTTTTACTATTAATTACTTTTCCCCAAATCACTTTAAAAAGTTAAAAGCACTTGGAGTAGTGTTTGCAAATAAGCCCTTATTAGCTTATGACCTTTTACTTTTTTTTTATCAAATAAGTAATTATTTATTAAACGATAGCAAAGATACAAGAGAATGAATAGTTTAAAGCTACAATGGGATGAGACATGGAAGTATAGAACGGAACAGATCCAATGAATCCTTCCAGATCGATAACCCCGCAATAATGTAGTCTAGTCTAACAGTCTTGCTGCTCTTCTTGCTACTCCAAAGAGAAAATAAAAAATTACAACTAAAAGATCCGATTTCAACGGCCACCAGAAAGAGAGAATTGGTTTGACCAGCAACCAACAAAGGAGGATCATTCAAGCAGAAATTTTCTGAAGCATCGGTTTGACCAGCCACCGAAAAGGAGATCCAATTGATCATCTTCTTCTTCCTAGAGTGAGGCGGTGGTTCAGGTGGTGGACGAGTATTTGAAACATCAGAACAACAAGGTTGAACAAGTTTTACCAACCATGAACAACGAAAAATCACCAGATTGGTTACACTGATTAGAAACATACAACCTCTAAACATTGCTAGAAGAATAACATACCACAAGCTCACTTGAAGCGGACAAAATTCTCGGCCAATAAAGAAACCGGACCAAAATCCTTGAAAACGGAAATGAATAAAGAGCGGAAGCATTGAAAAACTTTTGATTCGATCTCTCACTGCATAGAGAATGACACCTTCTTCCAAAACTTTTTGCTGATTGAAAAGAAAACGATTGAAAAATCAAATCTTGAATGAGACTGGGGATGGCCGCATAGAGTTTCCCCTAGGGTCGGCTCTCCAAAAACCACTCAATTAAAAACACAACCTTTTGATTTTTGTATATTACTTAGGTTATGTTTAGCATAACGAGCTGCAACTGGAGACTGAAGTCTGAATTGGGGGTTATTGAATGAATAAGAAACTATTGTCTGAAACTGTATTATGATGTGATGAATCTGAACTATTAGCTAAATGGAGTATACCCGTTTGACAAAAAAACTGAAGTGTGACTGGAAAATGTAAAATTACATTTGCGGGTATAAAATATACTCCTATTATTAAAAAATATACGGAGTATATTATACTAGTATATTTTAATATTTATTAAAATATTAAAATATTTTGCAGGAAATTAGCAAAGCTGATTGGTAATCATTTTCCTGCATTTGAGGAACCATGAAGGGCGGATCGGATATTTTGATTGAGTTATCATCGATTGGAGTGGCCGGCTGTTAGTGCTTTCTTCCCATAGTGTTTTTTTTCTATTTTTTCTATTCTCTAATTTTCTTCCTTCAAGCGTTTGTCTTCGTTATAATATTTTTAAAAAAATTCGGTTGGTTATTAAAAAAGAAAAACATAGTAGTTTAATAACATATTTTAGCTGAAAAAATAATTATATATTTACTTTATTAGCTGATAATATGGATGTTTTTACTTGGACTGTAATTTGTCCTAGACCAAATTAAACCAAACCAAACAGACCATATCAGACTTGGATAGTTATAAAAATTCAAAGTGACCAGACCAGTTCAGACCAGATCAGAACAGACCATACCAACAAATTACAGTCCAAGTAAAAACATCATAAAACTAACCAAATCAATCAATTCAATGGTCTTTGATAAGTCCGTATTTAGACACGCATTTGATGCGTGTTGGAGTTGGATTTTGATGGTTTTCCCAGTTTTAAGGTGTTGCAAGTCTCAATTTTAGCTCAAGTTATGTTTACCGGGCGTTGGTTCGAGTTTTGTGTTGTTTGTAGTCAAAATCAGGGAATTTGAATCCGGCACTGGCACTTGAGGAACAATCGGGATGATTTGAGAAGCATTTGAGAATGATTTGATAGCTTTGGAGGTCACCGGAAGATTCACGATGAAGATTTGAAGGAAAAAAGAGCTCTAGGATTGGCTTCGGGACAAAAGAAGATGAATGAAGCTTGAAAACGACGATCAGAATGACCTTCTGTCAATCGTTCAAGCATATCTCCTTGTAGAAACATCCAATGTACACGATTCAAGCTCCATAGGAAAGCCAACTTCAAGGGCTACAAATCATATGAAGACACCTTTGCGAGAATCTGAGAGGAAGGAGGTGAAAACAGACGATGAAGTCAGATGATCTCTGCTGCGATTTCAGAAAGACACCTTCCACCGTTTTGATCATATCTCTTGATTGGATGATTCAAATCACATTCGGCAAATTGGGGTGGATAGAGGACTTCATTATCTACAACGTTCATGAAGGAAGTTTTGTCAAATTCGGAAGTTAAGTAGGCACGATCGTGCCCTCAAAGTCAGACACGATCGTGCCTGAAGAGAAAAGCACCGCGGAGCTACTGCCAGCCAGGCACGATCGTGCCTGGAGGGAGGCACGATCGTGCCTGCCTGTTAGGTCCCTGTTTTCTAGTCTATAAAATGTATGTATGGAAGATAGATCTGGGAATGAAGCTTTCCATTGAATGATGAAGAAGTTTACAGAATGATGAACAATTTAGCGTAAAACTTCTATCACCGATATAGGCACTGCGGCACAGGGAATGTTGAAAAGCTTAACCTAGCCTTTCCCTTAAGGCATATATATAGCCTGACGGGAAAGGTAGGTTTTACAATTATTTGGGCTCCCTTTTCTAGGAGGCCCATACCTAAAAAGGCATAAAACCTTTTATTACAAATTGCCTTAAAAGGCCTATTCATTATTCTAACTAGTCTATTTAATTAAAGAGCTAAATACAACGAGCTAAGAAACATTGATCACAATTACAATAGAAATATCTCTAACAATCTCCCCCTTTGTGATCAGATGTTCTTGCTTCTTCTGTTCTTCACTTCTGAGCTTTAAAATAATGCTTTCTAAGATTGAGTGCATGCTCGTAATTTCTGAGAGACCTTCTTCTGTCTAGTTGTTTCTCTATGGCTTTCAAGATTTTATTGACTCTTTCCAATTCTTTGATTTCTTCTTTCGAGGCTTCATTCTGTCTTTTATCTAGATCTTCTTTCCTTGGCTGGAGCTGTTCTCGGATGATTTGCAGGGTCCCATCACAGTATTTTTGAATGTCTTCAACAATCATCAGACGCTTCTCTTCTTTGTGATTCAGATAAATGACTGAGATGGGCTTGTCAAATGTATCATATGCTGCAAAGGTTTCAAGCCCAGGTCTATCCAAGTCCGGTCGTGTAAGATTCGCCTTTGAATAATTGTGTTCAAGAGTCATCTGGAGATCATGGGAGGCGTAGAACCGAACTTGTCTTGTCATGAATCTCTTAATGGCCTCAAAACCTTCTCTAGCAAGTCTGTCTTTGTGCACTGGGAGCTCCCTGCATCTCATGAACATTTGATAAATATCATCCATGTGCAGTAGGAAGAAGTCATTCTCTTGACAGGTGAACTCCGAGCCATCTGTACGTCGTAGACGAAAGATCAGGAACTTAATCGTTTCCAAGTAGTCTTCTGTGATATCCAGGATTTTTGATATAGGACATCCACTTGTTGCGAGATTGTGATTTAGAACTTGTCTTCGTTCCCCTGTGGATCTGTGTCCTAGCATATACAGGTTACCTCCTCGGTATTTTCCTTTCAAGTGATTGATTCCTCGCATTTTTAATTCACTGAACTTCTTGATTTTTTCAGGTTGTCGCCAGATTTTCTCTCGGATTTCTTCTAGGAAGGGGGCTTTGATTCTAACAATTTCCCATTTTTCTTTGGCTGGTTCAGGTGCCTTGGGATTTTCTTTATGATTCTCCCCTTCCTTGAGTTCATCTTCATCGAGTCCAATCATTTGTGCATGATATTTGTTGAGGAATTCTCTGAGTTGCCAGCTTCGACACATTTCGTACTGCTCCGCTTCCACTCTAAGATCATCCCACTCTGTCCACTCGCGAGGCCACTGATCATGAACTAGAAGGTCTTCCAGTTCATCTTGTATTTGATTACCAGAGGGCTTAGAGTGAGCTTGTTGTTGTGTCGAAGGCGACCTGTCATGTGAAACACCGGGATCCTCAGGATTGCCCGTTATCATCAGATTAGAACTAGGTTCTTTCTGATGGCCTGAATAGAATGGTGTACTCGAAGTAGCAACCTCAGGACTTCCACTCCATCCTTGGTCTACATCTATGAAAGATGAGCCTAGGAGTGTTGTTTCTAGCTCGACCGGGCTAGATGTGGGTGAGTTGGCTGTTTGGCTTATGTGTTGAGTGGATGGTGGGGGCTGATTGTTCGAGGATTCAGGTTGGTTGGATTGCGTAGAGGGTTGGCTTGTTGACGCATCACGCTCAAGTGTCCTTTGTCTCTTGTTCTCCCCCTCATGAGGATCCGAGTCATCGGGGTCCTCATGCGAACGTTTGTGACCAAGGAAACTATCACGGCATGAGCTATCAGGCTTAAGGATCCGAAGAAGGTCTTTTTGTTTCTGGGTTAGGTTGCCTTCTTCGGTAGCTAGTAGTTGATCTAGCATAAGGTTCTCGAGTACCTCGAACGGTAAAGTTTTAGGGT